CCACCACCACCACCAGCAGCAGCAGCAGCAGCAGCAGCACAACCACCACCACCAGCAGCAGCAGCAGCAGCAGCAGCAGCACAACCACCACCACCACCAGCAGCAGCAGCAGCAGCAGCAGCGAGCAATTACGCGTCATTCTTCGCTTGTCGTTATAACTCACTCTCAACTGCTGACGCGGCAGCAGCGGCAACACTAGCGGCGGTACGCATCGTCTCGTTTTGAACGAGGGGAGGAGTGGGGGGTCGCATCCATCCCGCAGCCTTGAAGCCGCGCCCCATTGCCCCATAACTCGATTGTTCTGCGCGAGCTGCAACGCCGGATGCGTGTGTTCGTTACGAGAGCATGAGCCGCCCGCCCGTAACCACTCCACTCCCGCATCGATCCAGTGATGCCGACCTCCACCGCCACCCACCCCACCCTCACCCTCACCCTCACCCTCACCCTCACCCTCACCCTCACCCTCACCCTCACTTAGTTATGGTTTAAGGGCGGTAGCGATAATGAGGACAATGACGAGGGTATGGCCGTAGGAGCATTGGCAGCGGTAGGCGGCGAAGGCCCAGCGATGAAGAATATAACTTGTTTCGCGTCCTTATTTGAACTGGTGATTTGCGGCGGGCAGGAAATAGGCGAAATTGCGCTATAATGGGCTCCAGTTTGAACTGTGGCAAAACGGTTATTAGCCAAACAAAGGCCAGCTGGCGTATCAGCGGCAGATAGTTGAGCTGCTCTGTGGGCGGTTTAATGACAGGAACAGGCCGACTGATATGCGTTTTTCGCTCGAGGATACACGACCGAAAACGAATTTTTCTTTTTCGCGATTGCAGGGATTTTGGTGCTTGCAACGTTTGCCGTTAGATCACACACGACTGAAATGACTGGGTAACGCATAATCACCTAGAAGAGAGGGAGACAGCGTAATATGAGTGCAAAACAGTCCGTTTCCACGTTACCCAGCTGGCGGGAGGGAGGGAGGGAGGGAGGGGGGGGGGGTAGTTACAATATGATAGGGTAAAAGCGCGTGTTAAATTAGTTTAAAACAGTCAACAGCTACATGCTATTTCATCCAGCGCGGCGTTAAGGCCAAGTTACAATCAATTAGTGAGATCTGTTTTATGTGCGGCGTTTGATGCATGCAGTCGCTGTGTTTTATCCTCCCCGGGGGCTAGTATTTCTGGCTAAATGACATCATGTACATCAAAATGTATCGCACATCGCGCATCGTACATGTAAATTAATAGCATATACAATTTATATACAATATATGCAATTATATATATATATATATATATGTATGTATACATCAAGGGCACATAAAAATTAAGAGAATCTATTATGTGCTCTTGATATACATACAACTAGAGCACTCGGAGAGCACAGACCTCCGCCAAGGCAGCTCAATTCTCTCACTGAAAAATTTAATTAATTAATTAATTAATTAAATAATTAATTGGATCCGGATCCCCACCAAAATCTCATCAATTCTAAGTGATGCGATTTCTGACCTATCCTGAAAATTTTATGACAATCCGTGCATAACTTTTTCAGTTAGGCTGTACACGCACAAACAAACAAACACACGCCGGTGAAAACATAACCTCCTGCCAACCCCTTGGCGGAGGTAATAATGTAATATTTTATATACGACAATGTACCTATAAATACGTTATATACGACAATGTACCCATAAATACGTTATATACGACATTGTAACGACAACGAACATTGCTCTCTGTTTGATTTCAGTACTACCCGGATCATCACAAGGGCTTGATTCTACTGGGCGACATATACCTAAACAACCTGCACGATATCGCGAACGCTGAAAAGGTATTTTTTTCCTACGAGGCGGCGCGCGCTGTTCCCAGTGGAGGAGAGAGAGAGAGAGAGAGAGAGAGATAGACAGACAGAGAGAGGGAGAGAGAAAGAGAGACAGAGGAAGAGAGAGTGTATGTAGGTGTGTGCGTGCGTGCGTTTGCGTGTATGTGTGTGCGTGCGTGTGCGCGCGCGTGCGTGTGTGCGAGTGTGCGTTTGCGTGTGTGCGTGTGCGCGCGCGTACGTGTGTGCGAGTGTGCGCGCGCGTGTGTGTGTGCGAGTGTGCGTGCGCGTGCGCGTGTGTTCGTGCGTGTGCGCGCGCGTGTGTGCGCGCGCGGGTCCCAGTAGAGTAGAGCGTATCTCGTCACTGACCCCAGTACAGACCCGGGTAAACATGGCACACGCACGCGCGTGCACGATCGTTACACCCTGGCTTCAAGCTTCATAGTGGGATGCCCGTAGTCGACAGGTACTATCCGCTGACTGAGATAATAGAGGTTTTGTGTACAGCAATGCAAAACTAATATACATACCGCACTAGTCAATTAATCCCTGACCTTGCGAAGCCCTTCTGCCTAATGGCTCGCCGGAAAAAGCATCTGCGGATATAAAGCTTGGCTGATATAACCTTCTGATGTCGTAATAAATTACACCCACACACACACACACTAACGCACGCACGCACTAACGCACGCACGCACGCACGCACGCACACACGCACGCGCACACACACGCGCGCGCGCACGCACGCACACACACACACACACATACAAGTAGGTATCCTCCTCCCAGCCCTATCCTTCTCCCAGCCCTATCCTCCTCCCAGCCCTATCCTCCTCCCAGTCCTATCCTTCTCCCAGCCCTATCCTCCTCCCAGTCCTATCCTTCTTCCAGCCCTATCCTCCTCTCAGCCCTATCCTTCTTCCCAGCCCTATCCTCCTCTCAGCCCTATCCTTCTTCCCAGCCTTATCCTCTTCCCAGTCCTATCCTTCTCCCAGCCCTATCCTCCTCCCAGCCCTATCCTCCTCCCAGCCCTATCCTCCTCCCAGCCCTATCCTCCTCCCAGCCCTATCCTCCTCCCAGCCCTATCCTTCTCCCAGCCCAATCCTTCTCCCAGCCCTATCCTTCTCCCAGCTCTCCCCTCCTCCCAGCCCTATCCTCTTCCCAGCCCTATCCTCTTCCCAGCCCTCTCCTTCTCCCAGCCCAATCCTTCTCCCAGCCCTATCCTTCTCCCAGCTCTCACCTCCTCCCAGCCCTATCCTCTTCCCAGCCCTATCCTCTTCCCAGCCCTCTCCTTCT